GGGCGCAGGAGGGGGTTGGGCCGGGGGGCCACAGGTAGGGAGAGCGCCGGCACCGCCCCGGCTGGCCCTGCTGCCCCCCGGCCGCATCTGGAAACGCTTAAGGGCGCCGAGCGGCACGCGGCCGGCTCCATCCGCAGCCTCGCCACGGGCGACGCCACTCAGACGACTTCATCTCGCAGTCACCTCCTTCCCCATGCCTCTCAGAGCGACCGTGTGGACGAAAATAACGTCACGGAGCTCTCCGTGTTCGTCGGGGCGGGCGAGCGATACCAGCCGAGGTGGCGATCGTAGTACCGGGATCGTGTCCATGACATGACGCATCACACCCACTCGGATCGCTCACGACGCAGTGCCAGTCCTTCGTGTTAGAGGAGGGCTCGCAGAAGTGAATATCACAGAGCTACCTGTGACATCCCTGCATGCGACCTCTGGTCAACACAGCAGAGGGCAGCACTTTCCCACCCGCTCCGCCACCGAGGGTAATGTTCATCACGTGACAATCGGACACAATATTTCAAATTTCTCAGGGCTGGAATGTATCCAAATTAAGCGCAGAACCAAATTTAATGTGACGGTGTTTTCGCGCAGCCATCGATGAATGGGGCCAGGACCGCGGAGACTCCCTGTGCTCGAGAAGCTGAGGGCCCCGAGCGGTTTCCTAAAGAAATGAAACTAATACGGCGCTTGCTCTCCGTAGCGGCGGCGGCGCTCCCTGCACTTGAAACGGCCGAGCCGCTGAGCGCTGGCGCCAGCCAGGCTGGGGGCCGGCGCGGCGTGATTACAGCACTTATCCCCGCTCCTCCGCGCGACGCTGCGCAGGCCCCGACAACAAAGCAGGAACCGGACCGGGCAGGGCTCCGGCAGTGGCCGCCCCCCGTCGCCCCCCCGCCCCCCGTCGCCCCCCCCCCCCCGCCCACCACCCCACCCCCGCCCCCCTAATTGGGCACTATTACCCCTTGCGTGGCAGGCGCACGCTCTCCGCGGCTCCAATTACACGGGGCTAGCGGCGAGCTTAACGGCTACGCGCCGACGTCTTAACGGGCGCCTGCTTAGCGTCAGCCGCGTCGTGCTTTGCTTTCCCCGCGATTAATAAGCCCGGTGGCGGCTCCGCAAAAACACGCGCCCCCCCCCCCCCGCCCGGCAGGGTGCGGCTCTCTCCCTTGCCCGCTCTCCCCCCCCCCCACCCCGTCGCCCCGTGATTGATGGTAGCGCCTCTCGGTGGCCCCCCGCGGACGGGCCGCCCCGTGTTTCCGCGTGCACCACCTTTGGGACGCCGGCAAAAGCCGACGGTTGCTTTCATCTTGGCTTCCATTTCGTCGGCCTGGTCGCCCCTCAACTCGGCGATCCACTCCGTGTTTTGTTGTCGACCGAGCACCTCCACGATTTTGTTTCCCTTCTCTGCCGGTAGCGGTGTTCCCGTCCTTTCTCGGACCTTCATGACGGCTGCAACAACCAAACCCTCAGTCCCCCCCCACCTAGCCCACCCCCCCCCAGTGGTGCGATCTTTAAACGAAGTGGCCCAACGAGCTCAACATAGCCACTAGATGTCGCCAGATAAACTGAATAGTGTAATGAGAATTAACAAATTGCAGCGACCACAGGATAGACAACATCCTAACCCCACTCCTAGAACTGCTCCTCCTCTTAAGAGTAACTTATCGCTCTGGCAATATGTTGTCGCTAAAATCACATCGTTGGAAAACACTCCCGCTCCCTCCCGCCTCTGCTTGTGCCCCTTCCCTTGCCCTCTGACCCCTGCCACCACCCCCGCTGCTCACATTTAGCCACACGGCCTGGCCCCGGGGCGAGAGCGCCGGGCGGCGTCTCACCGGAGTAGTCCTCTGCCTCGCTGCGCCCGCACGTCTCATAGCCCAGGTCCTGCACCTCCACCTGCACTCCCTTGCAGGCCAGGCTCGCCTCTCCTGCAACACAAACGCAGCGGGGATGTTGGCGAACGCCGGTGCACGCGCGACATGGCGCCGATGTGGTCAGCAGCGTCACATCTAGCAAACGGTACAGACGCCGACAACTTAACTTGCAGAAAATCATTTTAGGCCGAGTTAACCTAGAGGAGGCCCAGCTTGTGATTATACTGCCAGGCTAGGAGATGGAAACGCCGATTTCCGGTTTGCAAGTCCATTGTGTTGACCGTTATAACCACAGCAGCATCTGTGGCCGATACCATTCCAGTAAAAATCTAAGATCAGTTCGATCTGGAGTAATCGGGGTTAAGAGCGCCCCGCCGCTCTCCCTGTGAGCAGGCACCCGGCGGTTGTCCGCAAGCGCCCCCGGCGAGACCCACCGCTCGGTGGCGGCGCTAGCAGCCCTGGTGGCACCGCTGCATTGTTCGCCAGGAGGAGCCGCTCCTCGAGCGCGCGGTTCTGCTTTTTGTAGTCCTCCAGCGCCGCTCGCATGTGCTCCAGCTCCACCCGCGAAGAGTCCGCCTCGCACGGCCCCGCGCCACCCTCGCGCTGAGCCGCGTCGGCGCCGCCCGGGGTGGTCGCGCGTGCGCCGGCCGAAGTCACGTGACGTCCGGCCGGTGCCGCGTGACCTTCGATCGCCGTCGCGTGAGTTCCAGCCGGTGTCGCGTGACTTCCTGCCGGTGGCGTATGACCTCCGACCGGCATCACATGGCCTTCAACCGATATCATGTGACCTGCGGTTGGCATCACGTGACCTCCGGATATTGTCACGTGACCTTCGGACAGCATCGCGTGACCGCTCATTGGAGACGAGAGGGCATCGGACTGAGCGGAGCAGCGGGCGGGAGGAGGGGCGGCCACTACTGCTGCCGAGACCTTCGGCCTCTTGGGGACCGGCAGCCGCGATTTCTGGAAAGAAAAAACACACAGCACGCAGAGTTACAGCCAGGCGCCAGCGTTCCAGCGCCAGCAATCCCGGCGGCAAGTCGCAGCCAAATGCTGCACGGCGATGCCAGCCAAGGCTGGGGGGGACAATCGGTGCCCGGCCGCGGTTACGGGGCGCGCCACGATGCACGACTCCTTCACCACCGCCGACGCGACTCACCCGCCCGGCCTTTGACCCCACAACGCGCGACGGTGAGGGTGGCGGCTCTGACAGCGGTGACAGCGGTGACAGCGGTGACAGCGGTGACAGCGGCTCTTCGCCGAGAGCGGCGCCGCCTTCGCTCCGGTCGACGGAGGAGGACGTGCACCGGTCCGTTTCGGCCGACAGCTGGTGCTGCCGGATAGCACCGAGCTCCGCATTGAGGCGCTCGATCTCGCACGCCATGCCCACGATGAGGTCGGGGTTGAAGCTGCTGTCGCCGTCGACGCTCGTGTTCATCTCCAGCTGGCGCCGGAGCAGCTCGTTTACGCGCTCGGCATCGCTCAGGCGCTGCACCAGCTCGGCCGGCTCGGGTGCCGGCGGCTTCCCGCTGGCGTCCACGTCCTCCGTGGTGGCTCCCGTGATCCGCGCCGCTCCTTCCTTCCCTTCACGAGCCTTCGGACTGCGACGGAGCCGCCGCAGCTCCTCCCTGCGTGAGCACAAGCGTTGCGCGCCGTCACCGCCGCCGATCTTACAGCGAGGAAGCCGCTGCAAGCCAGCGGCGGGCGCAAGTTGGAAAGTAGTAGCTAGAGCAGGGCGCTCACCGCAAATCGTCGAAGGACAGGAAACCCTCCTCCTCCAAACACGCCGTGACGCCCTCCAGCTCCCGCTCCAGTCGTTTTGGGCGCCCACCTCCTCGAGCCGCGTCGCCGCCTGGCGCCAGCGCCCCTCCGCGTCTCGCAGATGCGCCCGGGTGCCGGCGAGGTCGGCCAGGAGCCCCTGCACAAACAAAGTCAGAGCGTTCAGTTGACTCGAGGTTGCCAGAGCCGCAACGCAACCACCACCATTGTCACAACCAATGCTATCACCACCACCACGGCCATCAACACCACCGCCACTGGGCACCGGCTGCTCCGTGCCAAGTTGTGCCACAGGTTTCTCTCTCACTCTCCCCTCTCACCCAGGATCCCCCGCCCTGAACCTCCCCCACCCATACGTCTCTATCCTTGCGAGTGTTGTTACGTTTTTAAACCATTTAGAGGCGTGACTGCAGCTGCGTGAATGCGCCGTACGGCATCACGCTGCTGTTGTTGCAGTCGTTGTTCATGCGCGTGGCCATCTGACGACCTCTCACCTCCACCTGCTTCTCCAGCAGCGCCACCACGTCACCGTCGCTGCCATCGGAGCCCAGCACCAGCCGCCGATGGGACTGCGTCATCTCCCTCGGTGCCTCCTCCGCCTCCTCCATCCTCCTCCTCGTCGCCTCCGCCTCCTTCATTCTCGTCATCGCTTCCACTTCCTCCATCCTCCTCCTCGTCGCCCTCACCTCGTCCTCCATCTGTTTCCTCTCATTCTCCGCCTCGTCCAGACGGCAGCTCGCGAGTTGATTGGCCAACTCGCGCTCCCCGACCTTTCGCTCCAGCTCCTGATTGGCCAAGTGCAGATCTTTGAGCTGCGCTGTGAGCTGCAGGGCCTGTCAGGGTGACAGACATCATCCTCGTCATTATCGGCCATGGTCTATCCACTGCTGTGTCATGCGACTTCATATGTCCTCACGTGTCCCCATGGATCGACGTGTCAGCTGTGCTTCCGTTTAATTTTAATATTTTATATTCTGAGCATGCTACCACCGTCATGTTACTGAAAAAAGAAAAATTCATTCGGAAATCTTGCAGAAACGGGGGAAGTGTCGTGTCCCCATGCCTCTTCTGTGCACTCCCAGATGTACCCGGTTTCCTCGACGTGTCCACGTTCATCCATGCACCCCCCCCCCCCCCCCTGTGTCTCCGACACGGCCCCCTCTCCCCCGAGCTCCTGACCTTGTTACGGAGATCGGCGAGCGGCAGTGCGAGCAGCTCCTCCTCCAGCCCCTCCGGCTCCGCCAGCTGGAAGCTCATGTACGACGTCTGATTCCAGCCGCTCACGAGGCTGTCTGTGCCTGCGAGCGCGCACGGGCAGAACGCGCACGGGGGACTCCGGGGCTTCATTTCAGCTGGCCTGCCTGGGTCGGCACACCACACTCCAGTATACTTCCTACCGCCACGGCTGTGGCTCTGGTCATGGCCGTGGACATATCGGATTGAGTAATGACATTCCAGGGGCATGGTACTTGTGCCCCTTTCAATGGTCAGATTTGAAAAAATAATCAGCGTGGCAGAAATAAAAGACTGGCTCCTATCAGACAGCGAAAGAGTTAACTGCTAGGTGAATTGTAGATGTATGGTGGATATCTGGTGGATGAATGATTGATGTCTGGAGGATGAATGGATGAAGAGTAGATGTCTGGCGGATTTCTGGCGATTATCTGGTGGACGTATAGTAATCTCGAGGCTGAACGGTTGATTTCTGGTGCACACGTGGAGTGAGTGAGTGCGTGCGATGAGCGAGCGAGCGATGGTGGAAGCACGCTTACGGGCCGTGTCGTTGTTCGCGACGTGGAGCCCGAGTCGTCCCTGAAGGGATGCGTTCCACCGCTGCGACTCCTCCAGCTGCTGCCGCAAGCGATCCACTTCCAGCGCCAGCTCACGAACAGCAGAGACACCTGTGGGCACGGACACAGACAGACACACACACAGTCAATGATACACATGCACACAGACATGGATACACACAAATGAACAGACACGGATGGACATGCACACGGGCACACAAACGTGGAAACATGCACGCACACACAAAGACAAAAGCACGTCAAGACGTGCGCACACAAGCAGGTAGGTAACAATCTAGTTTGGACATGGGTGCACCACTCACCCACACGATCGCTCACCCAGCCACTCGCTCACCCACACGATCGCTCACCCAGCCACTCACCCACCATGATACACACCACGTTCTGCCTACACATCAATTTTCACACCTGTCCGCACCCATCTTCACACCTTCCTACCTACTCATCTACCCACCTGCTGATCTACCCATCTGCACACCTACCCACCTCCACACCTACCCACCACCTACCCACTTGCACACTTGTTGCTATGCAGCATCACCTAGCAGCAGCACAATGTCCATGATCTGTCCGCATCGGAACCCTCAGGGACTTGCAACGCAACAATCCATGGAGCAACTTGCACTTGAGCCGATTTCATTGCTCCATTTCCACGATGGACGTGCTCTCTAGGCCGAGGTATTATTTTCGTATTCTCAGTCGTGAGTCTCACCCGGCGGCCGCCGATAACGACTTTGTGTAATCATGAACATCCCCCATTACAGGCCTTAGAAGCGTAAATCTACCGCTGCTGTCATTATTTCAAAATAACTGCCGATTATATTGCATTGATCCACGTGATTATTTTCGTTCTTAACTGGTGCAGTACACAGCCTGGAGAGGCCTCCACTCATCAGTGGTTTAAGTGCTGTGAATTATTTCGATAAAACATCTGCACATATATTGGCGTCTACATGTCTATGTGCAGGTACAATCCGGCAGCGGAATAAGGGCTGTGAATTTTAATCGTATTAATTCTACTTTGTAGTTAGCCAACAGTGGCAGCTTTACAGATGTACCTAATGTGGTATTTATGCCGCTGGCTCAGGGCGCTTGTTGTTGCAGAGGCTCGCGGTTTGAGTCCAACGATCACCCTGGTAAATACTGCACAATCATTCGACTCGCCGTCTGCTTGAGAGTGGACGTAAAACCCGTGGTGCCATTCACAGGAGTAGGCCATTGTGTACCCCGAGTCAAGGTCCAGGTTTGCAAAATTCAGCAACAGTTGATGAGCACCAATGCCTTGGCGCTCAACTGAGCAAAGCAGAAACTCAAGAGTTCATTTTATTCCCAAAGGGGAAAAAAAGTGTAAAAATAGTCTAGAAATTACTTATATTCAAAAATTGGTGTACTGTAAGCGATTGAAACAGAGTAATCAGGGTTCAGACACCCTCTCAACCCTCGCTTGCCGTTGTGAATTTAATCCACGGGCAGGGCTCGGCTAGTCAAGAATCAATTTTCAATCGGCACTTGTGGTTTCTGGACACGCACTGCACACTGGGGTGGCGTTGTCATGTGACGTCAAACAACTGTTGTGGGTGTGGGAGCAACCCTCAGGTGTGTGGTTGTAGCGTGATTGGCACGGAGCCCAAGTGCGAGGAATGAAACATGAAAATGTCCCCTCTCCTCTAACTTTAGGGTCTCTATGGGCTTTTATGCGAGTCTATATGCGTGGCATAGTGTGGTATCCGTGGCATAGCGTGGTTGGCGTAGCCTCTGGTGCAAGGAATTCAATGAGGCTTCCTGCCCATCTCTTCGTAGCCCAGCACCGGACCTCTTCGGCCGTGGGTCCGTGTGCCTTTGCACCGCCTGCACTAGATAGCTGCGCCACTGGTAGTCAAGGATTTACGTCCATTCATCCCACGGTGGGAATGCCCGGCTGACTTCCCAGCCAGCCAAGTGGGTGGTGGGAGTCGTTCTGTTGTGATTTTCTGTTGCGGTTGCTACGCAGGGAAGCGCGTGTTGGCGTGCGTCATCTCATCGCTCCCGTGCCGATTTGAATGCTCGCTGGCAGGTGATGGGCACCACTCTCAGCCAGCCAAGTGGACTCGCTCGCTCACTCATTTCTTTGTTCAACCGCCACCCCCAACCGTACGATTGGGCCACTGCCACAAAGGGCGTGTGGCCGCAACGAGCTCAAGGCCCTGATGTGGGTCCCCATGTCCTGTAGCGGAGGGCCCATTCACTCCCCTCTTAAGGATCACCATAAGGGGAGCACAAAGCAAGGACAGGATCTTGGAAGTGTCACACGGGCCTGGCTCTCTCTCGTGTACGGCTGGATGAATAGCGACTCACGAGCCTAAGTCCGGTTAGGTTTAGCCAGCAAAGGGCTTTAGTCGGTGGATTAATCCGATTGGCTCAGTTGAATTTTTCAGAATGCAGAGACCTGCAGACTCGCATAGAGTTCACGGTGGTTCACTGCTTTGGTTGATGGTCTGGTCAGGTTCGGTGATGGCATGACAGGCAATGTGGGAAGGGCAGCAGTGTGGCTGCGCCAGAGACTTCTGGTCTCAATGAGCCCTTCATCATTCACAGCCCTTAATCGATCCACTGCTGGATGGAGGCCTCGGCACGCTGTATCAGTCATGAGGGTTGTGTGATCATACTTCACCAAGCTGGTCAATGTGGGTTCGTAAAGAGCAGGGTGGGTGGAGCCCAGTATCAGTTCAGATATCACTTGCCACGACTGTTAGAAGTGGTCGGAAATCGAACACAGGTGGCTGGGTTCACAGCGCAGTGAGCTAACTGCTGCACCACCACTCCACGCAAAGGGGCCCTTAACCAATAACGTCATCCGTCTCGGAGCCTCGGCATCCGGGGACAACGAGACACCCCGGGCGGTGCCACCGGGAGGGGCGTACTTGCGATTCAGTTTACACAGTGAAGTGGCTTTGGCCGGCACAGCTACAATGACTGGGCCAGGACCTTTGTGGCCTGGGTTTTGTGGGGGGGCGTCTTGACCCCCCCCCCTTGTTGAGCCACGGTGGGTGGGCCGGGTTTGGGGTGGGGGGAATGCAACACAAGGGCGAGTGTGCCGTGTGAACTTGCAGCGTGTTTGTTTATTAGGGGTGACGATGACGACGCCGCTCGGCTCCGCGCGCGTTTACATTCAGGGATTAGCGGTGACGCGCGCTGAGCCTCGACAGGCGACTCGGCTACCGTGCACTCGCACACACAGACCCATCCGTACAACTAACATTACCCTCCTCGACCCCGTGTAAACTCGACAAGTGCAGGTCTTCACATGGACGTTCAGCATTCTACCCTCCCCTCCTGACGGAATGTGCTCTGTCAATGTCCCTATGGTTTTTTTTGTGTGCCATTGTGTCGGTCTCTCTACAGCCAACACCAGTGACGAATATCTGAACGGGATCTGGGCCTCTCGACTCGGCCTCAAATGAGTACCTGGTATGGTGTGTAAACATCACCACTGGGGAGACAAAGGCGGCCAGGCGTGGTGTTGGCCACCCACCCCCTCGTGTGCTGTGCCGACGTTCATAGGTGCTTGCTAATAGCACTTTCCCCAACAGTCTGTTCAGGCTATACGGGGGATCTTTGTCTTTGTTGTGTGTGTGTGCAATGCTTTGTAAAGTAAACAATCATCAAATGGAGTGAACGTAAATGGGCACAGGGAGGAGTTTAATTATCAAAAGAAACGGGACATTCAACTACTGAACAAACCCCGTGTACCCGCCGTGCCTCCCACTCGTGTCCAGCCTGCAGCGGGGCCAGCTTTGCAATGCTATTGCACTCGTAAAATGTTTTCAGAGAGAGACGAGCAGTTGAACACAATAAACCCGGGGTTAATTGGTACAGACACGCACGCAGACAGCGTGCACGCACACACACTCGACAGGCAGACAGATTCCATTAGTAACAACAGCGATGTCACAGTGGCAGGCCGCGCGTGTGTGTGTGTGCGTGCGCTTGGCGGTGTGGCTATGAACGGGTATGAACCCGTGCGTGTAGGCATCTACGTGCGTATGTACCTGCGCACTTGTGCGCGTTTGTAAACAGATCAACCTCCTAACAACATAAACAGTGCAATCATAAATTACTAAAACTTCACGACAACCCTCACCACCACCCACCTCATGGCCGCCACCTCTCCTCCCCATCTCGTTTCTCCAAACTTCTCCATTTGCCTGGAATGGTCTGCATTAAAAACTATAACTGATCACCCGTCTCACCCTCACGTCACGCCCGACCCCCAACGTCGCACCCACGACACGTAACGTCGCACCCACGACCTCTAACGTCACACCCACGACACGTAACGTCGCACATACTTGCTGGGCTACGGTTGAACGGAGCAACCAGACTACGGGGGCAGCCCGGTAGTCCGGCTGAGCGAGCGAGGCCGAGGTGCGCTGGCCTGGAGCCACCTCCGCTAACCCCTCAACCTGCCCACCCATCGCACGATCGGCGAGGAAGGACACGACGACGTCGCGACCGCACGGCCGCTCGCTAAGCCTCCCGAGGGCGGTCGCCCCCCGCCCCACCTGGCGAGGTCTCCAGCTCGCGCGACAGCTCCTCCAGGTTGTGCCGCAGCTCGCGATTGGCGCGCAGCCCGTCCAGCAGCTGCAGTCGCAGCGTCCGCACGCGTGCCAGCTCCTCCTGCAGGCTGCGGCTGTGGCGGCGCCGGGACGGAGAAGTTAGCACGGCACAACTCGGCGAGGACAATTTGAGTACTCACCGTGCGATGCTGCCGCTGTTCTTGTCAGGAAATCTAAAAGATAATTATACGACTCCACGCAGGTGATCACATCTCAGTCAACCCAAACCGCCTGGGTCTGTCCCGTGACATCCTGCCAGTGGCGAGACTTCCTCACTTCACGTGACGGCCTTATAGTGCACCTAGCCTGGCGCAAACAAAGTGGTGACATCCCCCCCCACTTAATGGCGGTCATTGTTATTGTGTATTGCCCACTGCCCAAGAGGCTGTGCGCGAGTGGAGGAGGCTCGTGAAGGACATTTTTGTGCCATTGGAAGTGACGAGCGGAGGGCCGGGCGGTGACAATGCAGATGGCACAGGTGGTGCATGTCAGTCGTCTCAGTCCACGCCAATGGAGGTTGTTGTTCCAGAAGTAGGAGTGTAATAGGCAACAGCTCACCACAAAGGCGTGCGCGCGTGTGAGACACTCACCTGTCCGCATGCTGCGGCAGGGCAGCCAGGTGCTGGTACACCTGCTGTTCTGCGTGCAGCAGCTGCTGCAGCTTCCCACCCTCCTGTTCCTGCTCCATCAAGAGGAGCTGCACACGAGACAAAGACGTACCTTCGATTAACATGCCTACGTAAGGTGCAAAATAAGTTAAACATACGTAGCCCGTTTAGCCGTGCAGATTGCGCGGGTAAGTGATGTTACCAAGGCCGGCAAAGTGCACGAGAAGGTGGTGTGGCCAGGGACGCGCCTGGCCGCCTTTTGACTCCCGACTGCTGATGTTTACACACCACACCGGGTGCTCTTATTAGGCTGAGCTGACCTAGGAGTGGGCTTTCTCACTCACCTCGTGGGCGTCGCTGCCGGTCTCCGGTTTCGCTCCGACCGGGTTCCTTGGACTCCGCACTCGCAGAAGCAGCACTTCCTGTGTCAGCCGGTGCACTTCCTGTGTCAACCGATCCACCTCCTTGTTCAAGAGCTCCACCTCCTGCGTTGGCCGAAGCGCTCCCTGGGACCGCGAGGCCTCGGGGGACGACGCCAGCGGATGCCGGAGGGCCGCTCGCCCCGCCGCGGGGCTCCCTCGCCTCCGAACGGCGCGGGCGGTACAGTCCTGTCATCGTCACCACCCTCCTCTTCCTCCTCCTCGTCCTCCTCATCCTCCTCGTGACAGCCCACATCATCCTCGTCGTCCTCCTCCTCCTCCTCCTCGCCCAACAAATTCTGCCGGGTCTCTTTGTCTGCGGAGAGAAGCGATCGGAAAAATAACCCAACGCCTTTGTCATTAATCTTCACAATAATCACATCAAGATATCGATATGAATTATAGTCCGTTGTCAATCCACTGCTGGATGGTCTTCACATGCCGTGGCAGTAACGGGGGTGGTTTGACCATACTTCACCGAGCTGCTCGGTTTGGGTTGGCGAACAGAGTAGGGTGCCCAGTAACGGTTCAGATGTCACTCTGTACGAATATTGGCCGAGGATGTTACAGATCTCTGTGATGTCATTCCAAACGAGCAGGCCATTGTGTGGCGGCGTCACAGTTCATATTTGCCAAATCCGAAAGATTACACCGCAAATAACTCAATCGGGATCACACACGGCAATGATAATAATCGTTTAGATTTGAAAGGCGCCCTTAAACAACGGATCTCAACACAACGTCGCCCTCTGCTTGCGAAGTGACCGCAGATTGCGTCTGCCAAACGCGGTGGCGCCGGTCCCGAACGTTGCGAGGCAACGGGCAAGCTTCTCCTCTTCCCGCCCCTCGGTGCCCACCGCTCTGTACACCGCTCCGTACCCCGCTCGTCCTTCAAGATGCGCAGCGTCTGCTTTAGCTCCAGCGTCCGGGGCGGCGCCTGCACCAGGGTGAGTAGCCGGTCCTTCTCCTGCCCGTTCTCCACAAGCCTCTGCACCGCCCACGCAGAGGCAAAGGGGCCCCCGTATGGCCTTCAACAGAGCGTGCACACACGCGCGCACAGCCATCGCCACCGAACCCCGACACGCAGGGCCCCGCGGTAGGAACGGTGGTAGGGGAAGGCGCAGTCTTGAGACGGGGTTGGCTGAATGTAGACGCTATACTCATTTGCTGACACAAATGTAATTGAGTCATTCAATAACATATTCTCTCACTGTTATTTATTCACTCATCCTTACAATCATACATTCATTTGCACACCCATTAATGCATTCGCTCATCTGCACACACACACTCATACACGCATTCATTCATCGTTCCGTCTCCGCGAAAGACGCACGTGTATGATGGAGTCCTTCTCCTGCAGCACGGCATGGAGTCGTCCCAGCTCCACGTGCGTCAACGTCTCCTGGCCCGGATCCCCCTCCTTCACCCTCTCCGCGTCTCCCTCCCTCTCCGTCCACCGCTCTCCCCCGGCCTCTGCCAGCCGGCGCCGGAGCTGCTCCATCTCCCGCTGCTGGCGCGCCCGCTCGGCGCGCTCGGCCTACACACAACGGCAACGGGCGAGACCAAAACCGTGACACATTTAGGCAGATGGCCGGGTGGCACAGAGGTCAGGGATGCCGAGCCGGTGCTGCCGAGTGCCTGGGTTCGACTGGGTTCTCAAGAACCAGGTTCCCAATAACCGGATTCTAAAGAGTTGTGAGTTAATGACCCAAACACCAATGACTGCACACAACGAAAAATAAACCCCATCACATTCAAACCATTAGGCACTTAATCTGGCCAAATACGAGTTGAACGATCATGCGACTGACACGATTCTTGTCTGGCAGTGGGTGGGAGTGCCGCCCTCGACTTCGCCTCAGGACGCGACGGCGATAGTGCGATTGGGATAATCGTGGGGAATTCTCGTTCGGCTGAGAGCGGCGACATCGGTGGTGGCCCCTGCATTGATTGGGCGTGCCTGCCTCCCCCCCCCTCGCTAGCGAGCGCGGACCTAGCGAGCGCGCAACGAAGCGAGCGAGCGAGCGAGTGAGCCGGAGAGGATCCTGACCTCCAGGCACTCCTCCTTGTCGCGCAACTGCGCCAGCAGCTCGGCGAGCCGCCGGCCCTCGCGCGGCGCGTCGCCGCCTGGGCGCCCCCCCTCGGACAGCGCCTGCTCCAGCAGACGCTCCTTGTCGGCGAGGCGCTCGGTGAGCTGGCGCACGAGCTCCTGCGCCCCCACCTCGGCCCGCTCCAGCAGGGCCTGGCGCGCCGCCTGGTGCATGTACACAGATACACACGGATACAAGGGCTCATAGATGACAGTCGCTGAATGGGTTTGCGTGAGTGTAGGCGTGTGTATCTGTGTGGATGTGTCTATGCCCAGTGGGTATCTGCTTGTATCGTTGTGTATGTACGTACGAGTGCGTGCGTATGTGCACGTACACGAGCGCGCGTACGGGCCGTGCGTGCGTATTTGTATGAGCGCGAGCGTGCAACCGTGCCAACGCGGGCGGCGTCGCACCTCCAGCTCGGTCTCGCGCTGCGCCAGCAAGGCGCGGGCCCGCTCCGCGTCCGCCAGCGAGCCGTCCAGCGCCTCCCCCGCCTCGTCGCGTGCGCGTCGCTCTCCTTCACGCCGACGCCAGCCTCTGCAGCTCCGCGTCGCGCTCCCGCATCAGCTCGTCCAGACCCTGTTCGCGCCAGCGCCACCGCCGCGGTCAGGGAGCCGGCGTCGGTGACGGCGGTGGTGAGATGGTGACGATGACGACGGCGACAAGGTCGCGACGGGTGGAGACGATGTGAGGGAGCGCGTCCACAGGCATGGACGAGAGGGTGAGCGGGCGGTCGAGTGGGTGAGAGGGTGAGCGGGTGGGTGAATGGGCGAGCGAGCGAGCGTATGGGTGGCGTCGCTTGCCTGGATCGTCTCGTCCTTGCCGGCGAGGAGGGCACGCAGGCGCTCCAGGTCGCGCGAGCGCTCCGCCAGCTCCCGCCGCAGCTCCACAATCTCCGCTTCCTTGTGCTGCAGGGCCGCACTCCTCGCCTCGTCCGCTCTCTACGCGGCACACGGGCACCAGCGGACTCACGGTTACCGCCGGGACAGCACCACCTCCTGTCGACGGCCACGGTAGCGACTCGTTGCCGCCCCCTTACCCCCCCCATCCCTCGCCGCTCCCCCCCCCCACCCTCCCGTTGTAAGCTTGGTGATAAGTTGCTATTCCTCCATAAGATGTCATCGCCTGGCGTCGAGATTCCAGTTTTCAATGCATGATTTTTCTTTATCCTTGAGTGGGATGACGTAACCTTGCAGTAGCATATCTCAGAAATCTACTTAGTAAAATAACATTGGTTTATAAATCGGTCGTATTGATTCACGCTCCGAGTGTGTTTGTACACACGTGTTTGGGGAGCGTTGGCGCAGCGATTAGCATGCTGTGCGACTAACCCGGCAACCTGAGTTTCAGTGACAATATCCCTTCGGTCGGCTCAAAATACCTGGCATGTGGCGTCCAAAACATATAATTAGGAAGACAAAGGCTGCCGGGACGTGGTGCTGGCCAAACCACCCACTCATGCACTGTCAGCCTTCACAGGTGCTCGCTAGCAAGCCCTTGCCCCAACAATGAACGTGACCTACACGGGGATATTTGTCTGTGTGCACGTGCGCGAGCAACAGGGAGCTCCGCACCTCCAGCAGCTGGTGCTGCTCGTTGAGTCGCTGCTGCAGGGCGGCGATGAGGGTGCCCTTCCGTCGGGGAGCTGGTCCGAGCCTCGTAGGAGCTCCGTGTACTCCTGCACAACCGCAATCAAACGACCACACAAACCAAACAACCCGTGAAGGCACCTGCCATAGCGCCACCGCTGCGATGGGGACGCAAGGCCCTTGATATTGTTGCTCTCATTCTGGTTCTATGTCAGTTGTGCCTTGACATCGACACGTTTCCCTTGGGACATCTCAGAGCAAGCAGCGGTCCACCGTCGCCCCGTGCTACACAACGTAGGGAACTGGAAGGTACCGCCTTCTAACCGCCTCTGCGTGTGGCCAAGTGACAAACCACATTTTCACGCGCGGTCACTGGCGACCGGGCTGGGACCATCCACTCGTTGCCCTCGGGTCACGCAGTAGAGACCCGTACCCTCGCCTCAATCAATCGGCGGTATCGCCTTACTGTCTCCGACAAGGCCGTTAAGAACCGCGGCCGTACCTGCAGCAGGCGGTCGCGGTCGGCCAGGCTGTCGGTGAGCCTGCGCACCAGCAACTCATGCGACGCCAAACGGTGCTCACAGTCGCGCCGGTGCGACTCGTGCTCCTGCACCAGCTCCAGCTCCCGCTCACGCGCTCGCGCTTTGCTCGCTCCAGCTCCGAGCGCAGCTCCTGGAAGAGATGGCGATGCAGGGGGAGGAGGAAGAGGAGAGACGACGCTCGGTGAGAATGAGGGAACGTGTGGCATCGGCCCGCCCACGAGCTTTAATAGTTGCTCGGAGTATGTCACTCACTCATTCACGCAGGCACAGCCACACAGCGGCTCACCTGCACGCCCCGCTCTGCGCGCTGGCGCTCCAGCACGGCGCCCTCCTTCTCTTCCTCGGCGGCATCCCTCTGCGCCGTGGCGTCAGCGAGGCGCTCGTCGGCACGGCGCAGCGCCCGCTGGGCGCGCTGTGTCTCGGTGAGCGAGCGCTGCGTGGCCGCGCGCAGCTCGCACAGCTCCTCTTCCTTCTGCGTAAGCAGCGCGTGCTGTTCCTCCGCTCCCTGCGGGGTCGGGGCCGAGGTCACGGGGTCAAAGGCCAGGGTAAGGCTCGGCTTGATGGTTTAATGGCATGGTGCAGGTTCAATTTGTAAAGCTTTCCGACTACGGTTGAAACCATTAACATCGGCTCCGTCCGTCCACTGTCTGTCTGTCCACGTGTCCGCACGTCCGACTGCCCGTAAACAGGGGGACACTATGAATCCACTATAAACACAAATAAAGTAGAGAGCTGTGTGGCTATTCGGGATACGACTTCTTGAAGACCGGCTACATGGGTGAGTCGCCCAAACCAACCCGGGCACAACAGTTACATCACTTGGGCGCGATAATAATCCTAATTGCACCAGGAACTGTACCAAGTGTTCCGCCAACAATAACACGGCTGTTCATGCTGCTGCTAATGACGGTGCCGATGACTTGATGATAATTATGAAGATGATTATGCTCTTATAACTACTCCTGCTGTTGTTGCAGACGGTGTTGCAAATTAAAATACTGCTGCTGATACTGCTGCTGCAGCTGATGCGAGAGTTGTGTACACTCGCTGAGTATGACGCACGTGGAACTTCTGCAGCTGGGCCTTGTGCGTGGCGTCACGCGCCTTCACCAGCGCCGCGTCGCGGTTCTCCAACTCTTCGCACAGCTCCGAGATCTGAAACAGCGGCAGCGACACCAGGATCGGCAACGGCACAGACGCCAGCACCGGCGGTATGGGAATGGGATGGGCAGGGGCGGCGGCATCCGGCCCCGTCGGGGTGCGTGGTGGTGCGAGCGATGCTCGAGACACATGGGTGCGTGGGCATCGTGTTTGCTGTAAAGCGCTGACGCTGCGGTCGTGCGGTGCGCGTGTTGAGCGGCGTGCATTTAGGCCACACGGGGTGTGCGTGCCAGGTGTGGCCGCTGCCTGTTTCTTCCGGTGTGTTTGAAGGTATGTGCGCGTGTCCGTGTGTGTGCACGTGTGTGTGGTGCGTGTCTGGAAAGGTGGAAGTGTGGGCTGTGGTGTCTGAGCGAAGGGGGCCGCATGCGAGCACCGGCGCATCACCGCACACCTCTTTGTCCTTGGCCTTCATGGGCGAGCGAGAGGCCCTGGATGGCACGGTCTCGCTTCAGCGCGTTTCTGCTCCTGCGTTCGCAGCTCCGACGCCATCTCCGCCAGCTTCTCCTGCAGCTCCTGCCGTGGCAAGCAGAAGCAACTCCCTCAGATAGGGGGACCAGGCCTATCGTTTCTCACCTCGTATTCTCCGGTTCACCAACCCCAAGGATATGGCTCTGTTGAGGCCTGCACATCTATGAGTGTCTGTGTATGAGCATCTACACGAGTCTATTCAAAACCTATGTGGTTCTATACTAGTCGATCAGTCTCCATGCAAGTTTATGGGTCCTCTCTGGAAGTGTACGGATTTTAATGAAAGTCTACAGGGTTTAACACGTAGGCTCTACAGGGTTCCATGCAAATCTATAGGTCTCCATTTGAATCTATGGGTCCTCTATGTTAATCCTCACTGATAATATTGCCCGGGTCGTTGATAATCCAGAATATGTGGCAAACAACTTGTCGCTAAGGCCACCACATACCTACCGATTTAAAGCAGCCCTGATGGTAGCCCAGCACCACAGTCCACCAGTTAACTTCTCACGCTATTGCTTGGCAGAACACAAATCTGGCCGTCTCCCGACAGCAACGCCACTGGCGACTCTGCTGGTGACCTTGCGACCGTGTGACCGCCGGCGGACCCTGCAACGCACCTTGCCGGCACTCTCCAGCTGGCGCACGTGCTCCTGCAACTCCCTCGCCTCCGCCTGCGCCTTCGCCAACGCGGCCGCCATCTCCCCGGCAGAGCGCTGAAGCCGCCCGGCCTCCTCCTCCCGCTCCTCGGTCATCTTCTGTGGAATGGCGATAATAATGATGACGACCCGGCCAAATATGTGTCTCAAGACCCTTCACCACCCGATAGAGCCAAATAAGTAAAAGTGTCATGCGGTGTGCAAATTTTAAACAAGGCGCCAATTATTTGGTCCAATCCCCGGAAAGTTAATGAACAATCCTCACAAGCAAATTTGTGGTGTAATTTTAAGCGAACAGTTATAGAATTGATGTATGCACCCAAGCGTGCGAACACATGCATATGCAGGCACTCACGTCATCTACGGCCAGAAAGGCAAAATCACTTAGGTCACTGGGACCACAACACTCACACTCAACACGCAGACACATACAAACGCACGCACGTGCTCATGAGCACACGCGTGCACACACGCCCAGGCACGCGCGCAAACGCCGCTCTTGACCCACATCGTTCGTTCAAATTAAACAACGACAGAAAGTGAGCAAGGAGACCGAGCGGGAGGCAAGATTAGTGCCGTTTGGATAGGTTTTCTTAACGAGCTTCCTGGGAATGGCCCCGACGCATTTACGGCCCCATTAGGAGTTTCCCGTGCTCCCTCTGCTAGCCCCGCTAGACCCGGCTCTCCCTCTATCCGCGCGCACAGCTCTCATTTCGGTGATCCATCAGCCGGCACCGCACGTGCCGGGGCTTTACAAGCGTGCCGCCGCCACCACCACTCCCCACTCACTCACCCAACATTTAACAGGGGTCAGAGGTCGCATTCCCCAGGCCGCTAAGCTCCCCCAACCCGTCGATTGTGCTGCGACCCCACGGGGTTAGGGGGGTGCCACAGGTGTGTGGCATTTCCTGAGCCGGCGGTGGAGGTGACAGAGCGGGAGTGGCGCTACCTCCGCCACTGCCTCCTCTGCCGCCGTCGTCGCTCGGGTTACGCACAAGCCGGATCAATTTTCCCCCCGGCCACTCCAAGTGACGGCAGCGCCCCCGCCCTCCGCCCCCCACCACTGGCGCTGGGAGTGGAGGTCCCAGGCTCGACTTCCCCTGATAGAGCGGTGACGTGGCGGAGTGGTCGTGCATTGGCCGCTTGCAGCAGAGGGTCGTGATGCGAGCCGCCCCTGGTTAACGCCACAGGCGTATTGTGTGTATACCAAGCGTAAAAACACACGCGCTCTCTGCGTCAGAGTAGACGTTAAAGATTCCGTGACATCACTCGTGCGCCGTGCCGGCGTGCCAGTCCAAATTTGCCAACTTTTAAAATTACACCGCAAATTACCGGACTGAGCCAAGCCAGCATCACTCCCTCCCAAATGCGCCATGACTGCACATTATAGACGTATGTGAAACCGCTTTCCTGATGAAAGCCTTGCGCTATAAATGAGAAAATTTCAAGTGATTTTTAACATTGAGGTGGTGCTCATCCCCCTACTCAGAGCCCTGAGAGTCAGGGATGGAAAATGGAGACCACCACTGTTGATTTCCTCAGTGGTGCTCATTTTGTCAACCCCAAAACAGGATTTGAACTCGCAACCTTCTCACTACGAGCCGTTGCTCTCGCACTGGGCCGGCAATACGAACCGGGCGAATACCGAACTGGCCAATGATTTCATGCCATCGCGACCTCCGGGACCCCGTACCTTGCACTGGAAGGGCAAATACTCTTCACAGAGGTCATCAATCAGCTCCTCGTAGAGGCTACACCGGTCGTCATCGTCGTCGTCATTGTCGTCAGCGCCCAGCCGGCGAAAGCACGGCGGGGGCACGGAGGGGGGGGCCGGAGATGGCGTGTGCTTGAGGGCATTTGGCACGGGGGGACTGCCCCTCGTGGCGGGGACGATGGTGGGCAGCCGCACCAGCACTGGCAGCCGGCTCCCGACGGCGCCACGCACCGGCCTGAATCCGATGTCCCTCATGGCATGCAGCACCTCTGAGAGGGGACAGGGCCCGGGGTCCGGGTTTTCCGCCAGCGACAAAGGAGCCTGCGTCGAGTTGTCTAAGTCGCGGCACAAGCAGCGACTGCTGAAGGTGGTGGAGTGGTGCTCCCCCTGCAGCAAGGGGCACCTATGAGAGGGGATCGCCCCATCGGGCACCAGCTCCCCAGCAGATGAGGCCTTCGATAGGTCCGTGGAATTCAGAAAACTACCATCGTCTCGGCGGAAAGGCGATTCTTCCTGATCCGGCACGGCGAGAAACGGCGCCACCTCGCTGCCGGCGCCGTCACTGCACACGCTCGCAGAGACTAGCAGAGACGCTGAGCAGCAATCCTCGGTGTCGTCTTCTTCGCCGCTCGGTGAAACGGCACCGTTGAATGTTGCGGCGGCACCGACGTTGGTTCCGTGCTGCAGCCGGCGTGGCACGCCGCACACCGACTCGTAGCCCCAGTCTGGCACGCGCAGTCCCGAGCAGCAGGCGCAGCGCCGGCCGCGGCATGGCGGCCCGTCGGAGGTGTCGGGTCCCGGCTCCGCCCAGCACTCGAACGCCGACAGCTCCAGGTCGGCACGGAGCAGCGCGTCGTAGCGGGCGTCCGCCAGCGCCACGTCGTCACCGATGGTGCCGTCGATGGGGCCCTGCGTGCGGCCGTAAAGGTGCAGCAGGCACTGCACCAGCTGCTCCTTTTCACGCAGCAGACGGCGCAGATGCTGCAGGGACAGCGCTTGCACGCGCGCCCCCACCGCGTCGTAGCGGTACACGCGCTCTAGCATGAAGGCGCACTTGGAGCAGGCGAAGGGCGAGGCGCCATCGCCGGGCCGCACCGGGCAACGCGTCACGTGCGCCAGCGCCACGTGCAGCTCCGGGCGGCGCGGGGAGGCCGCGGGGGATCCGGGGGGGCCGGGCGAGGAGGGGGGGCGGCCTGGTGGGACGTGAGGACCCCGGAACAGCCATCGCCGCTGCTTGCCTTGCAGCTTGCGCCCGCACACGCGGCACGAGCCGATCGGCGCCATGGCACGCACGGCCGACGGGAAGCGTCAGCCAAATTGGTCCCAAGCAAGACGACGAACGTAGGAGATCCGACCTACGCACCCGTGCAGCCGTTCACCTGCACCGGCAGCTCAGTCGCTCGTTCGCTGACACGCGCACCTCTCATCTACCCGGCTGGCAACACCGTCCACGTGGTAACCGCTGGGCAGTGAGTTGGGTGTCGTGGTTGATCCACCCGGGATGTTGTCACTCGGTGCAAAATTAATCTTTTAGCGTGAGGGGTCGTTGTTTAGAACGCCAGTTGGCCACACCCCCTTCTCCCACTCGCGTGAAGTCCCCACCCCTTGCCACGTTTATAATTAACACAAATTAACACATCAAAGGAGACACCTGGCTCCCACGAAGCACGCGCATTGGGAATGCTGCGAGCCTCCTCGTTACACAACCGCTAACGAGGCTTCGTAAATGAGGCGCCCGCTGAGAAACGCCGCAAATTGGCGACTCGTGATGAGGTGGCGCAGAAATCATCCCTCTCCTCGTCACCCAGCGACTCCCGTCTTCATGGCGCCGCTCAACAACGCATGCCCCGGTAGTGACGGCACCACAATGAGATCCGGGCTTGCGCCTTTGAGTCCGTTCCGTCGAGTTCCTCTAACACCGAGCTGCACCGGACAGCGCCGGCAAATTTAGGGTTCGGCCGATGCAACCTCCCTTGGGTTTGACTCCACACGGCGGCCCCCAGCAGCTCCCACTTGTCCGCTGAGCTCCCCGCACAGTCCTGCTTGTCCGCTGAGTCAACCCGGCTCATGACATCGCTGCAGGTGCAGCTCGTGTTCCTAATCCAACAGTCCCGTGTCAACCGTCGTCTTGGGGCGGTGAGGGGAGCGGTGGCAGCCCGGCGAGAAGAGATCCGGTGAATCCCCCTAGCAACGGTGGTGATTCAGGCCCGGTGACAACGCAGGTCGCCGTCCTCGTTGCCCTAAGCGCTTGCGAACCGACTCCAGCTTGAACCCATGCTCACTCCGAGTGGACAGGGCGAGGTGGTGGTGGTGGCGGAGACAGCGGCGGTAATTACCTCCTCCTCCTCTTCCCTCACTCTTCCTCTCCCCCCTCAGCTGTCGCTTCTTTTAGCAACACCCGGATCTTGGTGATCAGTGCCGCTCGGCGCGGATTGCGGTGCCACTGCAGGTTATCGGGCAGTGGTGATATCGCCAGGTGCAGTACCACGTGACACCGTGACACGCACACACACTGCGTCCCCTACCACCTGACGCACCACGTGGGTAGCTGCCGCCTGGCACGACAAGGTGGCCACAGGGCGCACCGGCTCACAACCCTGGCGGGCCGGTACAGTGAGCCGCTCTGCGCCACTGTAGAAAAACGGCCAGCACTGTGATGTGGCAGCAGCAGCAGCTCGTGTTCTCTGCCCCCTCCACTCACACCCCTCCCCTCCCTCCACGGACCCAACCATTTCCCAGCAAAGGGGAAGCGTAGTGTGAGTGACAACGCTGTAAGAGCAAGGAGCAGACTCGGCTAATGCTGATGCGGAGCAAGGGGTAACAATCGGAGGAAAATGCATCACGCCAGAAATGCGCAGCGGCTTTGTTTGCCGACTGAATCCGATGTTCAACAAGCGGGCTCGGTCTCGCCGTTCCCGCCTCTCTCGCGGGACTTGGTACTGGCCATTGTGTTCCCAGAAAGGCGGAGTCATCGGGGCCATTTTAGCGGACCTGCCAGGCAAGCTGGACGTGCGGAGTGCTCGTTCGCTCTCCCCCCCCCCCCCATGCCGTTAGCCCCTCCGACCGGCCAACCTGCTAGCAGCGGCGTGCGGTGACACGGAGGCGCTGGTATAACATCCATCCGTCAGGTCACGACCCCCCCACTTTCCTCCGGCACGGATGCACACTAATCCGTTCCGAAGGAGCCACCGTCAAAACCAAAATCCACAGTGCTGTCCAAAATTCCGCGTACCAGCACCAGCAGCGGCAACGCCCGGCAAACAAAATTCTAAAATTCCCCCAACCACCCAAAAAACACCCTGGATAGGTATCCGATCTCGTTAGATTTCACCAGCTTAGCACGCTTCGGTCTGGTTAATACGTGGATGAGAGACTGCCGAGGAAT